CGCAGTCGAACTCGATAGAAAAGCTTCACTCCGTGATGAAGCGAGTGTTAAGAGCCTTATGTTTTGAACGAAAAACTGACTGGGAAATGTGCTTACCTGCAACGATGTTTGCACTAAGAACTGCACCACATGAGACAACAGGGTTTACGCCAGCGGAACTTGTTTACGGCCGCAGACTGCGGTCTCCTCTTCGTATGCTGAGAGAGTCGTGGGAAGGTCAGGGTGATGATCCTGTATGTAGTGGAATACGTCCTCACCTTATTGGATCGTCTAACAAAAGCCCAAGAACTGACCGAGAGTGCGATGACCAAAGCACAGCAGAAGGCTAAGCTTTACTACGATCGGACAGCTAAAGCGCGACACTTTGCTGTAGGAGACAGGGTCATGTTGTTGAGGCCCTCCCAAAAGAATAAGCTTGAAGTGCAATGGGTCGGCCCGGCCGAGATTACTCGAAAATTGTCTGACACCAACTATGTGGTAAAATTACCAGGAAGTCGTAAGGTACACCAGGTGTATCATAGCAATTTACTCAAACCCTTTAAAGAGAGGGAAGCCATCGTGAACATGACTTTAAATGTTAGGTTCCGGCAGAAATTCCTGAATTAGCTCCCGAATCGGACGAAGTCCCGATCGAGAAAAGAGTTGAGGATTTAGTATCAAAGTCACAGCTGACAATGAAGCAGAAGCAGGAATTGCGTGGTCTTTTGACCGAGTTTCAGGACAGATTTGTAAGCGAGCCAGGCCGGACATCCGTCCTCACTCATGACATAGAGCTTACCTCGTCGGAACCGGTAAGATCTAAGACGTATCGGGTGTCACCTCGCCGGCTTGAGCTAATAAAAGCAGAGGTTAACAGGATGCTGGAATTGGGCGTGATTGAGCCGTGTGAAAGTGATTACACTTCCCCGTTAATTCTTGTGGAGGTACCCGGCAAAGATCCGCGTCCTTGCGTAGACTATCGTAAGTTAAACCTCATCACCAAGGATCAGACATACCCAATTCCCCACATTGAGGAACGCGTCGAGAGGGTAAGCAGCGCGCAATTTATCTCAACGCTAGACCTAGTGAGAGGTTACTGGCAGGTGCCGCTCACCGAGAGGGCGAGCCGGTATGCTGCATTTATTTCACCATTGGGGACATTTCGCCCTAAAGTGTTGAGTTTCGGCCTAAAGAACGCGCCTTACTGTTTTTCAAACTTAATGGATAAGGTTTTGCGTGGTCAAGAGGACTTCGCATTGCCTTACTTGGACGACGTCGCCGTGTTTTCCACGTCGTGGCCAGAACACTTGACGCATTTGAGAGCAGTACTGACACGCCTACGCGAAGCAGGTTTAACGGTAAAGGCGCCCAAGTGTCAGCTAGCACAAGCAGAGGTACTCTATCTCGGGCATGTTATCGGTCGAGGGTATCGCCGTCCCTCTGAAAAGAAAGTGGCAGCTATCCGAGACTCTCCCCAGCCCCGAACGAAAACCGATATTCGGGCTTTTCTTGGAATAGCTGGTTACTATCGTAAGTACATCTCTAGATATTCCGACATTGCCAGCACTCTTACTGACGCGTTGCGCAAGACCGAGCCCCAATTGGTCGACCGGGATGAGGAGAAAGAAAAGGCTTTCCGCGTTTTGAAAGCGGCCTTGTCGAGCCAACCTTTGCTTAGTTCACCGGACTACTCGAGGCCTTTCATAGTCCAATGCGACGCCAGTGATAGAGGCATGGGGGCAGTTCTTAGTCAAAGGGATGAGGGGGATCAAGAGCATCCCGTCCTATATGTTAGCCGGAAACTCACCCTTCGCGAGCAGGTTTACAGCGCTAGCGAAAAGGAATGTGCGTGCTTGGTTTGGGCAGTCCAGAAACTGGCTTGTTATATTGCCGGAAGCAAGTTCATTGTGGAAGTGGACCACTGTCCTCTCACCTGGCTACAGACCATGTCCTCTAAGAACGGCCGCCTGCTGCGTTGGAGCCTCGTTTTGCAACAATATACGTTTGAAATACGCTACAAAAAGGGTGTACTCCATGGCAACGCTGATGGCTTAAGTCGATGCCCCTGACGCGAGAGGATGTCTCGAGAACTCTGGCATTTTTTTCCTGACCTAGACAAGAGCTAGTGATTGTTTTTTTTTACTCTTTTAGGTGTACTTGTTTGAAAACGTTGAAGACACGGCTATCCAGGGTTTCGGGTTCGGTGTGCTTCCAGTGTTGTTGTTTTGTGTCACCTTAAAGTCTGAGTAACATTTTCAATAAATTGTGTATTTCCTTTAATATTAGTTAAAGGGGAAAATTGCCTGGTGGAGTTTGGCGGAATTGTCCGGCGCTCACTGGCTGAGTAGTTGTGTTTTCATGTGCGTATGTGATGTCTGTTGAGCCCACAATGAAACAGGTGTTGCCCTCTACTTCATCAAAGATGGTCGTCACCAAACCGACTGCCGGCGCTGATCTCTCCGGACAGTGGCTGCAAACCTCAGCCTATCGAGATCTTCACCCCCCCGCGCGAGAGACTGTTACGACCGGCCCTAGGGAACCAAGCAAGTAGAGTTTGGGGGAGAACCGGTTCTTGACCGACGGGGTCGTCCACCCCCACCTCCCCATTCAGGCTCCTCCTCTCACCGGGAGAACTCCGGACTCTGCTGTGCGTTCGTGACCATGTTTGGTAACATTTTAGGGCGCCGTGACCATATATGGACTCCGTGTTAGGTTGTGCCACTCCATGTGTTGTGAGAGGTGTTTCCCCCTCCCTCGTGGCCGAGGTGCCGGGGACACCGTATTGGCTGACGATGCGGACAAGGCGCCCAGTGTCAACAACGTGGCGCTATAAAATGCCGAAGACGTTTTGTATCACACTCACTCTTCTCTCTTTGGGTCAGTTGACCACTTCTCCACATGTAAATAATTCTCTGTTGTTCGTTCGGGCGCTTTTTCTCGCTGAATTGTTGGACGATGGATCCTGCGACGGGGCCAGCTACCGAAAACGAGACCGGCAGGACCCGGAGTTCCAACAATATATATATATATATAATGTAAGCTGGGAAGGCTATTATCACTCTCGTTATGATGCTAAATTAAAGCACATCGTGTTCGGCCTGTTGAAATGTGTCCCTGCGCATATGGCGCTGTGCGTGGCGCATGTTCTGTGCGAAACTGCCTGATCTCATCAGGTGTCCTCGTACGGGCGGCATTAACCCGGGCTGTCCGGTCTCGATGAGCTGCCGAGCGCACGGCTGATGTACTTGGAAAGGGATGCAGTCACCCACCAGAAGCGAGCCGCCTCTTCATGTGCGCGGAATGCGTGAGCGTAAAGCAGACCGAAGCCCGCGGCCAAGCTTCTCCGGAAGAATGCTCCCAGAATGGGCTTTCGTGGGTTCATGTGGCGACGCTCACTGGCGTAAATGAGAACGGCTTAGTGTATGCACTGAGCAACTCGCATGCTTCCGATAGTGCATGCGCTGACTGCCGACTCGTCCTTGCGTACCCTCATTTCTGCAACACGTGGTGTAAGAAGCCGTTGACCGGTAATATTTGCAGACAATTGGAGATTAGTCAAGATACCAGACACGAGAACTGGGTCGTGCAATGGCTCTTGCACAAGGACCTTGTTTTCTTGTTTTTGTTTTCATTAACTTCCTTGGCAATCAGTAGTATATGCGGGTAACGTCGACATCTGTACCGTTCACTTTACAATGAAATGTGTATAAGGAGAGGCTGTGCCAGTGAATGGCACCGGAGGCTTTTCTAGCCTTGTATGCTATAGTTCCCATCACAAGGTATGTGGATAAGTGCTGTAGACATGTGCAAATGGACCAACACTCACATACCTATTGGCCCAGTTTTTCAATATCAGCAAGCGTCCACTTAAATTAGTTCTCATGGCAGTGCACTCTGAAAATTTATTTCATGGTGTCTGGGATATAATGAAAAACAGTATAGATGGATCTTTGTCTAAGTACTTCAGTGAACAAGTCAAGAGCTGGTGACAGCGTCAGACGTGATGTGCTAAAGCGTTTGTTTATCGTGCATGTCATGACCACTTGCACGCTTAATTAACGGAGTTATGCGTGGATTCCTTTGAAGCAGTATTCTCCTACCTTCAGCTTTTGTGGAGAAGCATTCATATGCAAAAAAAAGGTAATCAAAACGAAAGACCCATGAGACAACTATATTCTAGCTCGATGAAAGGAAGCGTTACAAAAACTTTCAATTAAGGAAGAAAAATAGTTGTCTTAATTACAGTAAGCATACATATGAGTGCCTATTGGTCACTACAATAGTACCAGCTGCAAAACGTAGACGTGCGTTTCTACATTTACTTTGTTTGTACCACCAGTTTCAGCTTTATTTTGAAAGTAGCTATTATCTAAGTAAGGTGGCTAATTCGGGTATCTTCGCCTAACGTTGCCTCTCCCTGTTTCAAGATGCTAAGATCTCTTTGTTGACAATGCGCTAACGTCAAACGGGACATCATGAAGAAGAATGAACTTCTTGACAGGCCACGTAGAACAATCACATTAATGTTGCGTAACAAGGGTTGCCATAGACTTCATGCGTTCTAACTGATTTAACGATTACTCACTCCTACTTGGTAAGCTAGCAACACTACCCATCCGAATTTACCATGCATTCTGACGTTTTTGTACCAAAGCACCTCGATGCAAAGAACCTTTTGTCTTCTTCTTTCGTGTTTACTTGTTACGAACGTGAATTGTTCAATAAACTTCGAGGGCATGTTGGGCGTACAACTTCTATATAGTAAAGCTTTGCATAATCTGTCATTCGGTTGTGGCAGAGGGTAAGAGAGTGACAGGGGGGGGGGGGCTCATGGGACACACCTAGCATAGTATATGCACACTTTAGGGCTACGATGAAAGATGACATGATATGGTCAGCTGAAATGCATTAGATCAGCCTCGTTAAGCTTGCCTCTTCATTATTGCTCTTCTCTCAAAACCTTCTCTCTCTCTTGAAATACTTCTGACAGAATCATGGTATTAACTTTCGACGGTTACGTCATGGCTGCACGCGTGACCAACAAGGGCTTCCTGAACGCTGATCATTCGCAACGGTATATTCTGAAAGCCACATACCACTTCACTCGTTACTGTGGTATGGTTCTTCCCATTGTGTTTACTGTTCGGATAATAAGGACGTCAGTGGCTAACTTGTATGTGTTTTGGGAACATCACAATCGATCAAACATAACGTGTATTGTTGTGCCTGTATTCAAGAAAACGTACTACGATAGTAATATTCGTAAGAACAAGGTCTCAGTCAATACCAATGCCGGACGTTTCACTAGCCGAGCTTTTCGGCTAACGGCAAAATACACTTAAGAAAACAAAATTTTGTCATAGGCACCCATTTTCTAATTCGTCCATGTGCCTTTGTTTCTGGGCCAGAAATAAAACCACCGGCGTGCCGTCTTACTTTCCAAGCGGCGTGTCCGATACTCATCTCTTCCCTGTGTTGTCTCACCCTTTGCAGAGCTCGTGATGGGCGACATAGCCATGTCGCGGGAGACGTACCGACGGCGAAGCCGGCAGGCCAAGCTCGGGGTCGGCTTCAACTTTACGGACAGGGGCCCCAGGTTCCACAGCAAACGGTGAGTGCCACACGGTTCTCCTCGCTCACCCTTCGAGATTACACAGTAAGCTGAGAGGCTGAGCGGGCCAGCAGGCCCAGCGGAAGAGCGGAGTGGCGAGCATAGCGCAAGACAAAATTAAGAACGATTGGAGACAGCGGAGCGCATTGCTGCGCCGCCTGTTGAATACGATTGAGGCTATTCTTGTTTGAGTGGAGGCTTTGTCTGGAGAATGCTCACACGCTGGTCCCCTCCGCACGCTCCGCTGAGGGGACAGAATGAGCGGATGAGTGGTTCGCTCCGTTACCGGGGTTGCCACTGGTGGCCCCTTTTCGTCAAATTGGCGAACTTGAGAGGCCCGTGGTGACCTGAAATTACACATGGCGACATGGTGAAGTTTTGGAGATTTTCGGCTTCGGTCTCACCGAGGGATGCATTGTATACTCAGTGTCTTGAAAAGCATAGGTGACACCATTTATTCTTTTTTTTGGTAATTTTAGACCCTCCTGTAGAAGGCACAATTTAGTACGTTTCTCCTGTTTTTCGTGCGTATCTCCTAATTCACCAGGATCTTGGAGGCTCTGGTGCGTGCGTCAGCAAACCCCAGCAAAATTTATGCAGGGTACTGCTTCGCGAAGTGGTGGTGTTATACTGCGTTCTTCAAGCCTTTGAAGAGCTTTCAGTTTCCTTGAGAGTTCCACTTCTGAAGTGACTAGGGTGATGATGCGTGTTCCGACCACAGCTCTAACTGTCCTGAATAGCTTGTCGGCTACTTCACTGCTGTAGTACCCCTTAATTTGGTGCTTATCCTTAATTTTTTATTAGGGACTTTTAGCTGACCGCATCTTGCTTCTCGCTTTGCGCAGCCAGTCGGTGGTCACGCCACTGCGCATGCGCTATACAGTCAGGCGCTGAGCGTCTGAGTAGACCTGTCGTAGTGAGCGAATGATCACGTGACGCGAAAGGAAACGACTAAAACGGCAGCCTCCTGTGCCGCAACTCCGCGCTGCTCGGGAAAGCGCGGTGGTTGTTCGGCAAACACGCAAGCATCGACGGCAGTTCAAGACACACATGGATCTGTGCTTCTTTCGAGAAGCCGTCGCAGCCAATCCCTTTGAGAATCCGTGCCTGTGAGGTGGTGTTCCTTGAAATGATGTAGAGATGACACTTGGGACCATCAAGGAGCGTGTTTCTTTCGTATTTCCGTCAAAGAGACTTCACGAATCTTCGATAGTAAGCGACTTTAAATAACAATAGAAACAATTTATTATTTAACAGCAGCCACCATTCCACTTATTCATAAGAGCTTTTTAGTTTGATTTGCTACAAGACAACGTGGTGAACGCGCTGCATCATGTCAGGGCATTTGAAACGCGTTTCGGCCGCCTTTAAGGCATCGATTGTAGTGCAGCTCCAAGTGAAGATGACAAAAATTTTAAAAATGCTTATGCGTCAAGCAGTAAATGAATTCACACTCTTTTACAACAAAATTTTTTATCTTGCTGCAAGACAAGAACTATGCTTATTTTCTTTTAAAACAACTTTCATGCCGGTGGCGTCGCAATAGCGTTTACTGAACGACGCTCGGCTTAAGCTGAAAACGTCCTTGCGCTCCGGCAACGTTGAGCATTTGAGCGGAAAGGGGAACGGAGCGCAAAATTGGTCAGCTAAAAGTCCCTAATAACATACTTTTTGGGTGGGCCAAAAAGTCGGGCTTCTTTGGGCAGCCTTCCGAAACTGTGGTGAGGCGAACGTATAGCGTCAGCATGACCACACAGAAAGCTTGGTGCGGGCATTGTGACAGTTACGCAGTACTTTCGCATTTATTTCCGTTGTTTTGTAGTCAAGTCTTTTCGATTATCGGACTCACGATTCCACTACAGCGAAATTCTCTAAATTTGCCGGAGGGCTATGCGCGGTGTCCCTCTCTTGTGGTCGCTACTGCTTCATCCTGTATTCGCTACAACTGAAACCATCACGAACTTCTGCGCTAGCATTCAAGGGCGCTGCTTGTGCATGCATGCCCCTTTTCAGCAGTGCTCCCATGGTGAAGTGGGTGATGTGACTAGTATTGAAAAACGTCAGTATAATTTAGGGTTTATAGATGGTGCCCTACTAGATGGTTCTATATAAAATTAAGAGTATTTATTACCACGCCACGCGTACATAGAGTGGCGACATTTTTGGAGAAATTTGAAGAAAAATGGCGCCTTGTGGCGGCATTTTGCTCATCATTTGGCAAATTTCTGTCGAAAGTCAGTGGCAAGCCTGGTTAGGATGGCTCCGATCCCGTGCCCACTAGCATCGGTTAGGACTTCTGTCGGAGCGGAGGGGTCAAAGTGGGCCATTATAGGTGGAGTTGACAGGAGTGTGATGAGGTGAGAAAAGGCGGCAACTTGAGCGCTACCCCCATAGATGTCATTTCTTTCTTCAGAATGTCAGTGAGCGCTCTAGCTATGGTTGCGAAATATTTCACGAATCATCTAAAATAAGAACGAAGTCCTACTAAACTCTGGACGTCTTTGAATGACTGGGGTACGGGAAAACTCGTGACTGCACGAATATTTCCTGGTCCGGCTGCACACCTCATGCGTCGACAAGGTGGCCCAACACCGTAATTTGCCGGCGTCCGAAGTGGCACTTCGACGAGTTTATTTGAAAGCCTGCAGTGCAGATTAAGTCCAGGAGGAGGAGGAGGACGCAGGGAAGAAATGAAAGGTAGGGAGGTCAACCAGAAGCACGTCCGGTTTGCTACCCTGCACTGGGGAAAGGGGTGGGGGATTGAAGTAGAAAAATATCTGACGAACGCTGAAGGTGGGTCTGAAATGTTGGGGAATATACAACGATATCGTTGAGATAACAAAGACACGTTCACCATTTGAACCCTTGTAGCGGAGAGTCCATCATGCGCTCGAACGTGCCTGGGGCGCAGCATAGCCCAAACGGCATAACCTTGAACTAATATGGGCCACCGGGAGTTACAAACGCCGTATTCTCTTGGCCTTTCTCGTCGACAGCAATCTGCGAATAGCCAGAACGTAGCTCTATTGAAGAAAAGTATTGCGCATCGTGGAGACAATCGAGAGCGTCATCGATTCGGGGCCAAGAGTCAACATCCTTTTTCTTGATTCTATTCAGATGGCAGTAATCAATGCAGAAGCGCCGCGTGTCATCTTTCTATTTAACAAGTACAATGGGGGATGTCAAAGGGCTCGAGGAGGTTTCAATACCGTTCAATATTACACCCGGTATGGTCGACGGTGAATGGAAAGAGGATCAGCTGTCTTAATGCGGCGGCTTACGAGTGAAGTCTGGCCGAGTGGACGGCTGTCGATGTCGAGTATGCTGCGGTATGAAGCCAGACGGCGGCATTGCGCGGCTGACTGCTAAGGTTTGAGGTCCCAGGCGATCATGGAGCGTAAGGTCGCATCGAGGCACGTGGCATCGTGCGGGTGACATGGGTGATCGGGACATACGTCTGACGCAAAACTGGTGATGTGGTCGTGTACTAAGGGTCTCAACGTGGCGACCGAAATTCATCGAGATACCACTTGCTTCTTAGGACCGAAATTGATAAGAGGTAAATGTGTTTGGTTAGAAGCGATGCTTACGACGGAGTGTGGCCCTGTGATGTCACGCGTCAGGAGAACATAACGTATGGGCGTCACGATATAATCACCATCAAGCATGGGAAAGGTTGTTGCGAATTCCACAAATGTGAGATCTTTAGGTGGTATCCGGAGGAAGTCAGTGGTATAGAGCCAATGCGCAAGTTTGAGGCGAGAATCTGGAATAAGAGGAAGTTCTATAGACAGAGAGCACCGGCGGGACAGTCTATCAGGGCAGAATGCCTCGATAGGAAGTCCATCCCGCAGATCAGGTCATGAGGGCAATTTTCGAGCACCGCAAATAAAACGGGAACACGGCAGCCGGCAATGCTAACACAAGTCGGTACACATTCAATAGACGGCCACAGCTCCACCATCAGGCACACAGATGGCTTTAGTAGCAGCAGGCGTGAGGACTTTTTTGAGTGGGCGACACAGATGAACACTCATTATGGACACTTGAACTGTATAGTATCGACTAACCCCGTCGAAGAAAGACCGTTTACATACACCTCAATCAAGGTATTATTAAGTAGGGAGCGTAATCGGATGATTGGGTCAGTCGAAAATTGATGCAGCAGTAGTATGCAATATACTCTACAACTACGCTTACGTGAACCAATTGACACAAGTTCGACTTTTGTGATGAAGTTTTGAGCCCGTATTCACAAACGTGACCTGCGCTAAACACATTTGAAGGTGAATATTTTCCTCAATAACAATGAGCGACACGTCCTCTATAGCGAAGCCAGCTAACTAAAAGAAAAGCGCACTCAAGAAAGGGATGTTTTGAGGATTCGTTCCTTGGAGACTGGCTTCACAAGAATTAGGGCGCTGCAGATCGGGCCGCAGGAATCATGGGGCATGCTGAGTCGGCCAAGGTGTCGTCTGGTTTGCTTTATCCACTTGGCCAGATTCGGGCCGTTACAATCCTGCTTTGAGTTTCGCGAATTTTGTTTGGGCTGATTCAAACGATTTTATACGAAAGACCTTTCATCGCACGTGCAGGCGGCGACATCGGCACCGGGAGCGCGCGGGCAAGAACCGCCGACGAGTCCGCGCCGCCACTGCGAGGCCCGAGAGGCTCTGAGACCACGCCGTCATCCCATATGAAATTGAGTCCAACTTCAGCGGTGAGTTTTTCGGCGTTTTTTTTTATTCCTCGACACAACGATTGACCTTATAGACCGCGGCCGTGATGCCCCTGCATTAACGATCATTTTTAAGAACCTAAAGGGGCCCTCTAACGCTTGAAAACATCGGTGCCGACTGCATAACTGGGCCCCACCACGGTGGTCTAGTGACGAAGGTACTCGGCTGCTAACCCGAGGTAGCGGGATTGAATCCCGGCTGCGGCAGCTGCATTTCCGATAGAGGCGGAAATGTTGTAGGTCTGTGTGCTCAGATTTGGGTGCATGTAAAGAACCCCAGGTGGTCGAAATTTCCGGAGCCTTCCACTACGGCGTCTCTCATAATCTAATGGTGGTTTTGGGACGTTAAACCCCACATATCAATCAAATGTGATCGTGGCATTGGATCAAAATAGGGATTACTATTGGATTTATTTTTTATTAGCCTCATGTGTCACTCAAAGCCTTAGGAAATAAAGCTCTTCGACTTTTCTAGCTTGAAAACTGCAAAGGCGGTCAAAGAATGTTCCAATTCCCATGTGCTGAAGTAAGCGTGCTGGCGACACTCCGGGCACTGTTACTTGAAGAAACAAAAAGAAAAATGTGTAAGAGTGTTGATAAATTTGCGTCATTGCAAAAATAAAGATAAGTAAAGCTACAAAACATTAAAGAAGCGTTCGTGAGCTGGCTAGTTTCGCACGTGTCGTTCCTCTTCAAGTACCACATTGTGTGTTACCATCGCAACACCGTCCTTAATACGCTGGACGTAACAGGCAGTATGTCATGCGAGCTCCCTGTGTGTTAGAGCTTTCAGGTCATTTCATTGGGCAGCCTTCCTACGTCAGAGGTCGAAGGAAACACAGTATAAGGTTAGCTCGTGGAAATCGAGTATAGGGTAGGCATTTATTTCACTGTATTTTGGTATCTCTACGCTGAATAACTTTGCGCTGCTTGGCTCTATCGCTGCCGTTCTTGTGGCACTGATCTATTAAGCCGTCAGTGTACACAACCAACTACGAAAAGCATGTAAAATAATGAAGTCATGAAAAGTGTTAGAGGACCCCTTTAAAATATCTATGAGCCACCAAGTTGTGCCTCAAACTTGCCTAGAACTAACTTGCGAGGGCTTCCACAAAGTATACATAAAAAAGCATTGCTGAATGCTCTACACCTAGAAGGTATAGACTTGAGGTGATGCTGATATTCTATTGTGGCAAGTTTCGTAATTATTCTTAACGTGGGAAGGATTTATACCGTGCCGCACTCATGGCTTGGGCTACAACGATCCTTTCTAACAAGTTCTTTGCCATGCCTAGCTAAAACAGTAAATTCTGAGGGTGGCATTGCCTTAGCCAGGCAAAGAGAAAAACTGATAGATTTTAGAGGCAGCCGAAATTCAGAGCTGGGTGAAAAAAGTGTAAGCAGGTCTTCCATTTCCCTCTCTAATATGTAAATGAGCGACCTACGGCACCTACCCTTTCAGTAGTTTTAGTCCATGCTTTACATTGTTCTTAAGTTTCATTTTAGTTTTTAACGTATTATGTCTCTTTTTATGTTTTGTGTGTCAGCCCCCTTGACTTCTCTGGCTTTACTGTGTTTGCCTCAGTTGGGTTTGGGATCAGTTATATATTTTCACTTCTTTCATATCGAGAGCATACTTTGTGGCGTAGGAATTCAGACTGCGTGGTTAGCTTCGGTTGAATGTCTTTTTGGCAAGCAGTGCTCACGTGGCTTTCACCGCTTCTTTTCTTCATGTTAACTTTCGGTTGTTTCGACGCGTGCCTACAAGGCCCTGCGTTCCAAATAATAAATCGGTCATGAGTTTAGCGCTGTGTGTGTGTGTTCTTCCTAGATGTTTCGTCCCTTTTGCGTTGATAAATCTACGCCCCGCCGCGGTGGTCTAGTGGCTAAGATACTCGGCTGCTGATCCGCAGGTCGCGGGTTCGTATCCCGGCTGCGGCGGCTGCATTTCCGATGGAGGCGGAAATGCTGTAGGCCCGTGTTCTCAGATTTGAGTGCACGTTAAAGAACCCCAGGTGGTCGAAATTTCCGGAGCCCTCGACTACGGCGTCTCTCATAATCAGATCGTGGTATTGGGACGGTAAACCCCACATATCAATCAATCAAATCAGCGCTGAAAAATCTACGTCAAGCAACTGAGAGCTAGTCGATTTAAAACGATGTACACAATGCTCACAACCTTTTTTATTTGAACTGTCACGCCGGCAGTGACGTATCTAAGTGAGGCGAGAGAGAACGTATTCTACTGTGTCATGTCACTTCTCCGTCAACGGTGCAAGTGGCGCATAAACAGTGACCCATTCGGTTCGAAACGGGCTTTAAATACTGATTTGGCGAGGACTTAGTTTTCTTTGCATCTGAAAGTCACTTGCTCTGAAACTTCGAAAAAAAAACGTGTCTCGTGTAATGAAAAGGGGAGACAGAGTTTAAAGGTTTAACACCGGCTGACTGCGCTGTGCAGAGGCAATTGCTAAAGCGAACAAACGGGACGCAAGGTGAGAGTTCAATTTCTTCCGGGTCCAGCAAACATTTATGGGCATATGAGACTAATTGAGGGTGGGTGTCGCATCTCGGAATTTCCTATTTATGCCACATGACCTACAATAAACATCTTGCGACAACCATGACTGTGAGGAAACGGCCGGACAACTTCTCTGGGTGTGCTTGTGCAGCTATATCAAAACGTTCATGACCGTCCTCGACATATAGAACGATTTCTCCTTGCAGACGTGAAAAATATCCGAAGTCATTTTCGACGCTATGGACTTTAATTAAACGCGCTGTTCCGATCAAACGCGCTGTTCCGAACAAAGACTTGCGGAATGTATGACCGAGTGCGTGAGTTTTATGGACTTTCATCAGGCTTGGGAGCCGTTGTTGCGTTTGCAGTAAGGTGGAGAGGTGGGGAGAATGAAACAATCTATAATTGGAATATGCATTGTTTCCACTGTTTTACAACGCTTGTACTGTGTGTTTCCCGTCTTGTTTCCCCACATTATTTACCAACTGCAAAGGCAACGCTAGAAACGTTGATGCAATAAAATTAAAAAAAAATCCAGCAATTATTGATTCATTGTTGTCCCACATGTCTGGCAGAAGTATTCACCCTATATTGAACCTGACTACACGGCGTTTGCACTTTTAAGGAGGAATGGAGGAAGTTCAGTAAACTTCGTTCAGGATAAACTGTAATTTATATGCAAATTTTTTAGATCTGAATGTTTCGCCATTTTCTTCTTTAGCTTTTTTGTTTTGATTGTTTCGCACTCTTACAGTTTACACAATGTTGATTATTGGCGTACAATTTGCGATGGTGGCTAACAGAACGTGGGGCATTAACTTTACTTGACATGCTCTATGCAGACGCATTTATTACACTCGAGCTCTACGTAGGCATATTATAGTTAGAGCTGTCACAAAAGAAGTATTTGCAAGCTATATTGATAAAGAAGAGCGTATTCACGTGGTGTTGAGAAACAACCACCCTAAATATATAGCCTAGTATCAATATAATAGACAATAATACCTTGAATAGTGTGTCAACATATTCAGCAGATTGTCGTTCTACGAATGTAGTTGCTATTTGCAGTGTTTTCGAAGAAAGTTGAGTTGGCCATTGCGTTCTTCTCCGGTACAGCGATACATGGGCCCACATGCCGCATATAGACGCATGCATAAGAGAAGAGTAATGCACTCGTGCGCAATCGGAACTTTGCGACGCCCGGCGGGGCGAGCTATATACCCGTCTCCGCATGAAATGACGGCCACCGGGCCGGCTGGCTGGGCAGGCCATTAATTAAAATTGATCGCGTCGTCGCACCCTCGGCACAATGATCGCGCCTCGTGCGATTGCCGGGGCGTCTCAGCCACCATTGATGCGCCGGCCCGAAGGAGCATGCTCCTTGCAGACGTCGATTCTTAATTCGCTATACGCAGTGGAGTGGAGGCCCAGCTGCCGAACAGAGAAGGCCGTATAGCTGCGACCGGCATAGCCCGAAGCCACTCGCGCACACTCCATTCCCACTGCGCTATATAGTTGCGTGCACCGGATGTAGTATACATAACGAGTTTTTGCGCATTCTCGAGCCTTGCGTGGCAGTGGAGTTCAATTTTCTTGTTCGGAGGGTACGCCTTGCGTTATTGAGTATGGCATGGACAATTTCCACAACAGAAGCTGAGGGCCAGAAAGAGATGCTACCACGTTCCCCTTCGAGTTTCTGTTCTCGCATGTAGGCGCTGTGCATGCTACGGAAAGGCTTCTTGCCTGACCTTCTTTGAGTTGATTCTTACGGATAACAAAAACAAAGCCACGCGTCCCGGGCATAGCGCATGGTTTACTCATAATGTACACGCACATACGTTTGTACGGGCCACATTTTCCCTCTTAAATTTTCATTTATAGCTCGTTCTTCTGTTCGTTCACGTGTTCTGGGGACGTCATTTTTGCTCTGTTGTACAGACGGTCAAGTGTAGCTAGCTGACTTCACTCGGGTAAGTAAAGACGGGCGCGTGCAGACGGCAAACTAGGGAGGAGTATATAGAATTCACAACATAGGGTGACACACGGAGCTCGAACAACTTCACCCGCTGCGCTTACATACGGCGTTGTGGCGGCGTTGCAGCGAAGGCAACAACGCTGCACGAAACTGGCCCCCTGGTCGACGACCCAAAAGGCTTGCAAGGCAAGAAAATTAGGCAAGGGGGACTGTTACGAGAGACGAGAAATATTGCGGTGCACGGTGGCCCACCCTGTTCGCGGGAGATAAGCGGATGACGAGGCGGAGCGCGCGACAAATGACGCACAGATGAAAAGTAGGTGAGGCTGTCTGCAGCAATGTCGCCAAGAAGGTGAAGATAAAAAGGAAGCAAGAGGCTGCTGCAGGAGGGTCGTTGGGGAAGTCGTGTGGCATCGGACGGCGTCTACAGTCTTCGCCGAGAGGAAAGGGGCTGTCCGAATACAGCGAAGGAAGGGTTCTGTCGCC